AAAAAAAATAAATACCTTATTTTAAATGTTATTATATTAGTAATTAACAATTTTCGACAGTCGTGCACTTGTTACAATTGTCCCCACTTACGGGGTCAATTGTAACAGTTCATAAATTCAACTAAAACATAGTTAATTATACATATTATCATAGTTGTGATATTTTTTTTATTGAGCAAAATAGTAGTGATATTTTAGGAGTAAAAATAATATTGAGTAGAGACCTAAAGGGTTAAACTTTTAACTTTAAGGGGTTAAAAATTTTAATTTATGCTGTGAAGGGTAACAAACCTTTTTTTTCTTTCACAATATCACCATTTTCAAAAAAGCCTTCTAATATCAATATTGCAATCCTAAAAAAATGATATCAAAACTGTTAGAATCGAAGCTAAAAAGAAGTTTTAAACTTCCTCAAACCGAAAATCTAAACATTGAATACATGCTCTATTAAATTGCAAGTAAAAGGTTAATCCTTTAAGAAACTGCATATTTCTATTAAAAAATTTAGTCAGACCGGACATTATGTAATAGGTACTTTATCACAGTACATACTTAGTGAAGCGACAAACTTTAGATCTTCTTTGTAAAAGAATCGTTGTTGATAAACGTTTGAAAACAATTTGTCTTGCATTTCTAGGGGTTTGTAACTTTTGTTGATTTAGAGTTGACAAACTGGCTGCAGCAGGCCTGCCTACATTCTACGCTTTAAAAAAAATTTCTTCTAACGGTAGCCAAGTTTATATTTTAACGTATAATTCTGTCTTTTATAAATTCGATTTGAGACCATTTTTCCCACCATTTGTAAATGATTTGAAGAAAACTTATAAAAATCCACTTTTTTGCAATACTCTTGTGGTAAGGCTTTTAAAATTATCATAAATTCCGCGAACTTTAATTTTTAATTGTCCACCACTCGCTAATATATTTTGGAAAAAGCGTAGTACTCGTCAGTCCTGCTAGACAGCAACAGAAAGGGTCAATGCGAACTTAAGATGTACATTATTTTCTTATTATGCTAACATTTTTTTAATCCATTAATAACCTTATGAATACCTTAGAAATTTTTTTATCTTTTCCAATCGATTGCCTAAAGGCTGTTTTTCCCCGAAAGCTCCCTTATAATATGAAATGATACTTTTTTTCGAATAATATGCTATTTTTATAACAGCTGTTAGTTATAAAAATAACTGTTACTCATCACTGTAAGGTCAAGTTTAGCTTATCTAAAGCCAGCTCTGTCTACGCTTATTTTGAAAATGGCACAAAACGTTAATATGGAGAAAAAACTACAGTTTTGTGCAAAGGACAAGCTTTCGAGGTCTAATTTTTTAATATTTAAAATCTTACTCCAATGCTGCATTACCTGGGCTCATAAAAGTTTAGAAAAACAGAGAGTAAGGCAGTGATTTTGGAAAATTTTCCTCTAGGACAGGGTTCCCACGGTCCTTGAGAATTTTAAAAAGTGGTAATAAAAATAAAAGAAATTTTGACATTTTTATTTCTGTGTAGCCACCACTAAAAATTGTTTTCTAAAAAATATATATATATGCACAAAAATTTCAGCACTTTACGATAAAAAAGTTTATTAAAATAAAAATTTATATTGTAGCTCCACCCTAAATTTGCTACCACTTTTTAAATTTTTCAAGGACCGCGGGAACCCTGTAGGAGGAAAAATGTAGCCAATTTAGCAATTTTTAAAAAAGTTTAATAACTTTTAAAATATTTAAGTTATTTGTCTGTTTTAAAGCCATGGTATATAGCCCTTTACGACAAGATTATATAATCATCGCATTGCTTCAAGTGTTAGGCACTTAAACTATAACTTTTTTTTATTTTCTTTGGTGACAGAGCCTCAAAAAGCAGCTTTAACTCAATCAAGTTCCGAGTTTATATAAAAGAACCGGACAGAGCATCAGGGTTTAGAAGAAAAAATGTATTTATAAATCTAGTGTGATATGTTTCCTCTCGACTGAATTTTAGTTTATCATTCGTAAAGTGAATTCCTTATTGTTCTGTTTCAGGCTAAACTTAAGAGTCATATTCACGATCCAAATGCCCCTGAGTTAGTACATTTTCTTTTCACACCTCTGGCACTGATTGTAGATGCAGCTAAAGAATCCAATTACAGTACAACACTAGCTTCCAGAATTGTGGCACCTTTGCTTACCCGAGATGCCCTCGAGCTTCTGATGAACTGCTGTACTTCCAAAGAGAGTGACTTGTGGCACAGTTTGGGAGAATCCTGGATAACGCCAAGGTATTAAATACAGGCTTATATTTAAAAATAAATAAATAAACAAAAAAGGTTGTGCTCGAAGGAAATTGATCAATGAGAATTAGTTTAATGAGAATAGCTACAATGTGGTTAAATTATTACGTTTATGAACTAAATCAGCATCTCCTAAATGGTGTTGTTCCAAGGAACCCCAGAGTTCCGTGAAAGGGTAAAAGGGACTTACTCTTTTTTGCCTCACAGTAATGATATTCCAAATTTCTATTTGTAATTAGATCCAATTAAAAATCTATTATTTATTCAAGTTTAGGTACCTTAGAGTTCCGTGAAAGGGGTTCCATGATTAAGAAATTTTTTACGTCACATTAATGATTTTTGAAGTCTCAATTTGCAATTAAATGTAATTAAAAATCTAGTATTTATTTAAGGTTCGGTACACTAGGGTTCCGTTAAAGGGGTTCCGGAAGTAAGAACTTGTTTTTACTTAACAGTAATGAGTTTCGAAATCTCTATTTGTAATTAGATCTAATTAAACATCTATTATTTTTTAAAGATTTCGTTTCCCTTTATGAAATTAAATTGCCAATGAAAAATAAATGGAATTTTTTTTTAATTATTATTTTTATTTTTATTCTTCTTTGAATAACTTAGGAAAAGGATGCATTTATGAAAAACTGCATTGGTATTTCCCCATCTTACATTTCAAATAAAAATAAAATAGCTGATTTTGTTAATAAAAAAAATATGTTTCCTTTAGTAAGCATTTTCAAAAATATAGCAGTTCTTTAAGTTTCCCTTTCAACGAAAATCATAGTTTGGCATATTTCTTTCGTTTTCACTTTATGTATTTACAGCAAATGCAAATTTAAAGCAAAATTACATACCGCACCAGGAGTGCGAATTAAACTGTCCGATATAAAACCCAATGTCGCTAAGACTGCTAATGAACAAAACTATGAAAAAAATTCCATTCCTCTTATTAAATATTTTTTTAAATGAAATAGTCTTTTATTAGTTAATACGCACACAACTGTTTTTGTATACTTCCTAATATATTGTTTACATATACTTTATTATTTACAAAGTCGGTGTTCCACACAAAGAAGTTTAATCATTTAGGGTTTCATAGCCGTAAAAATTTGGATACCTCTGAATTAAACCTTTATTCTTGGTATAAAATCTACTTACTTTCCTATACCTTCATTCAATATAGTTTTGTTACAAAAAATTCTTCTTTTAAAAAAAGAACTGTTGAAGCTTAATATTAATCATTTCTAAAAGCATTACTTTTATTACATTATAAATAACAATATCTTCTGCCACTTTGTCTCATTCTCTTAAATATGATAATCATTTATAATATCATTCTCTTAATTAAGTTTCACTCTCTAAAATATGATATTATGAAAAAAATAGATTACGATAACAAATTGCAATATATTTATCGCACTAAATGATTTTAACAAACCGTTCGTTTTCATTACAGAGAGCATTGGGAAGGATATGAAGGCAGCTACAATCCAGTGTTTTCTGATGGTTGGGCACCAGAGAATCCATTCGCGGAAGAAAAAGTGGAATCAGTCGCTTCATTCGCTCATAAATCTAAACGCGAGGATGGACATCGAAGCCATGATGAAGTAATATTAGTTTTCTTGCATCAGTAATTAATTAGTTAGTATCTAAATAAATAGTAAAACTTGTAGAATAAGAATACTTACGCCTACTGTCTAAAAGTAACATCACGAGATAACTGCCAGAGAACTCAATCAAAATAAAATCCCAACTACGCTGGCAGATGCAAAAATGCTTTTGCAAAGTCAAGACTATTCCCCCCCCTTAAAAATCAGGGCCCACGATCAACTAACTAATCTTGACATAGACAGGAAGACAGCCACTACTCTCATCAGACTAAGAACAAAACATCATAATAACATGAAAATCTCTGCAGATGGGACTAGAAAATATCAAAACTGTGGCAACTGTCTTAATGTGGAACTCACACCATATCATGTTCTTAACTGCCCTGTAGTCGCTGCAGGCCCTCACCTGTTAAACTACCCAACAGAAGAAGATTTATATCCATTTAATGCCATAGAGATAGCAAAGACTATTCAAGCACACCATGAGATATGATTCAATAGAGGATACGACGCCAACCAACCAACGAGATAACTAAAACTGCAATAAAGCTGCATTTCATATGATACTTTGAATTTTTGATAAGTAGCAGTGGAAAAATGACTTAAAATGAAACTTACTGAACTAAAAATAACTTGAATTTCGTTACCACAGACAAATATCTTTTTATAAAGCGGAGCAAGTTCTCATTTCTGTTTTCAGATAATAAAACGAATCTCAAAGTAAAAAATAAAACTTTTTGCTGGGTAAGTATTTTACTTAAGCAAAATAACCCATAAAAGGATAACGGTGACGATATTTTGCAGAGGGATATAGATTGGTAACTCAACTATCCCCACCTCAAAATTTACTTTAGTAAAAAAGACATTCAGATTTTCCATAGTATATTAAGAATAAATACATTTTTACTATGATCAGAAATTATGAGACTGCAGTATTTTCAAACAAAAATGGTAACCACAACTTGAAAATGTTAAAATAGTATAAGCTGAAATGATCCACAATGAAATCTTTTGTGGTTTAAAACCCTTGACCGGTGAAATTCTTTTCTAAATTTTTCTTACCTTAAATTTCACTTTTGTTTCACATTTAAAAAATTTCTGTGTTTTTTCAAAATTTTTGTTACCTTTTTGATTCCGTATTTCAGAAACAGTTTGAAAATTAGGATATTTTTATGTCTCACGCAGAGCATTATACCTACTCTTCTCTATTGGGCAAAAATAGCGAATCGCAAACTTATTCTTTCCTAAATACTTGTGTAATACTTAAGCAGCCCCTACATATAGTTTATACGCAATTTATCTTTTTTATAACCGTCGTTACCTCTATTCAGAGTTTACGACTATCAATGTTCAACTCAGCAACCTTGTAATTTTGAATCCAATCCAGAAGACAAGGGAACTCCTGGATCAGGAATTGGGAGAAATTTGCCATCGCGGAGGACTTTTTGATGGAGCTAACCCACATTTACGTTACATGGAGAGGAAAATTACAAAAACCCCATACTGTTAGCCAGACGGCAAGAGGACTCCATGATCCATTAACTACTAAGGATATTTTGCGTCAGCACTGTGATTGATGCGAGTCAAGTGCGAAATTCGTATCAACCAGCCATTGCTGATGGATAGCAACAACATCATCTCACGAGCGATCGAGGCTTCACACAATTTTTTTCATCTAACTCACCTGTATGGACCATAATAAACTAAATTCAGCTTTTCTTTAAAGAAAAAATATTACTTTTTATTTAAAATATAATTTTTAGTAAAATTAATTGATATCTTATTTTAAAACGTTGCAGAGGGGTCATTCAATTATAAAATGCTTCCTACGTGTCAGATTGTAATAGGCATGTGTATTTTTTTCCAGGTGGATATGCGTCATCAGGACTTCCGGGTGCCTTCTCGTCAAGATCGGGATAGTCGATACGGAAGTGACTATTACTTCAATGAGCACAGAGACAAAGAGAGACCCGTTTCTCCAATGATATCTTCAGAAGTCCCTCATTCGAGTTTTGAAAATAGATATTACGATAATACGCCTACAGAATTGCCCAGAAGGCATGTTTTTGACAGGTATCTATTTAGACTAAAGCAAAAAACAGAGTGAATAAAGCAAAAATAAAAGTACATAAACGTACACACGTGAAAGCACATTTATATGTAAACAACACTCCTTAGCAAAGTATATAAATAATGTACTTTCATTTTTGCTGTATTGGCTTTGTTTTTTGTTTTAGTCTACATAGTGCAAAGTTTTACCCTTTCTTTTGTTAAGTATTTATTCTTTCTATTTTGTAAAAAGGTTTTTAAAATATAGAAGCGTTGCGTAATTGCTTGAAGAAACAATTTTTGCCTCTTAAAATTGTATTATTTGAAGATTTTGCTGTCATTAAATTTAAGTTTTAAAGCAACAGGAAAACATACTCGTTATTTAACAGCTTTTTTGAAATTTCTTTTTTCAAGAACAATAAAAAAAGCTACAACTTAAATACCTTTACACTTGAGACAAACATGTAATTTTAAACTAATTATACCATCTCGTCGTGTCACTATCACTTATCGCGATTTTATCACAAACCCTACAAACATGAAGCATATAATTCGCTTATACCATCTTGTTATAAAGTCACTGTAACTTATCACTATTTTATCTCAAGCCCTATAAACATGATGCTTATAATTGAATCGTTACATAACTTATGAAACACTAGTGGGCTCTGCTCCTCTTCCCCCCAAAGATTGCTATGCAATTCTTATGGTTTCCTTTTCAACCATCTTTGCCCCAAAGTTAAACCCATTTGAAATACCTTTTAGCGTAAAATCTTGATTATTTAAATCTTCTATTAAAAACTTCGAAACTAACTCCTGTTCAAAAAATTTTAATTTTCAGTCAAGTAGTTGAAAAAAAAGATTGAATTTACATAAATAACATGCGATAGAAAAACTTGAATAATCAAAACAATAATTATGCTTTTTAAAATGACACACATGACGGTATGTTTCTCATGCATTCTTTCAATGCTACGTCTTTCATAACTATGATCATTGCTTTCTTCTGCTCTTCGAGCACGCTTTTTTAATGTACTTAAAAAGCGAAGCAGAACGTCTAATACTCATTTTTCAATGGATTATAATAGCAATGCAATGAAATTATTATTAAACCTGTATAAGTATAATTATTACATATGATGGCTCACACAGTTGACACTTGAATTCCTTGTTGCCAACGCGAAAACGAAATGAAGACCTTTCTATTTGCCTTGTAAAAGAAATACGTAAATAGATTATTATCGTATTTAAATTATAATAATACATAAATTATAATAATACATAAATTATGATAATACATAAGTTATAAAAATACATAAATTATAATGATACATAAATTATAATAATACTTAAATAAATTCTAGTCACTATATCCTTTCCTTTATCTAATTTTATCAATTTTTCAAAAATAATTCCAGGAATGGTGCTGCAACTCCACTTTCTGATCGAGAAATGCACGATATGCGTGATCGTGATGTGCGATCGGACTTCAGTGCCGATTCGATCGATCACGCTGTTGCATCAGATCCACAGATACAGTTCGAGAGGCACCAGAAACAATTCTTGGAAGACCTCGTTGCAAAAGGGGCTCACGTGGTTCAAGTGATGTACCCGAGGACCGCAAACAATGACAAAGAGTTAACTGTCATCAGAGGAGAATTCCTGGAGGTAAAAATAATAATTTCTATGTTATAGTAAATATTCAACATTTGCAACAATGCAGAAATAAACTCTTTTTTTAATTAAAAAAACTAATTTTGAAGAGATAGAATTATGCTGTCGAAGGCAGCGAATAACCTAAAGCCATGAAGGGTTGAATGCAGGCTGTGACAGTCAAAAAAAGACGCGGTAAAATCATGTTGGCGAACGAAGTGGGCAGTTATAGTATAAATGCATTTTCAATAACAGTAATAACAGAGCTTTTCACGACATTACGTTCTCATAAATTTACAGTAGTAAGAGTAGTAGAAAGGGAGATAAATGTTCATCAATTTTATCAGCGTAAATTGTTTTGAATTATATTCATAATACAGTCGGACTTCTATTGAACGAACTTCCATTTTGCGAATTTCTCTACTTTGCGATTTTTTAGAGAAACCAAGAACATTTTGGAAATTTCTTTGCAAAATAACTTCCAAATAGCGAAGTGAATTTTCCATTTATTTTGATTTTTCTGTTTCCTTGAGATCCACTTTCCCAAAATATTTCAGAACATTTCTGACTTGTTAACGTATTTTATGGAGGGAATGGCCTTAAATTGATTTTCGAAGCCACTTAATTTTTTGAGAAAGCGGTGAAATCCCTTTCGATTGTTGTTTGCATTTCAAACGAAAAACTCGTACAAAATAAACGAATTTTATCAGTAGCAATTAAATTTAAGACGTTCACGCCGTGTGTTGAGCCTGAAAGCGGGACGGAAAAGAGAAAATACTGGTAGAAGAACTATTTCAATATTAGATAATATTCGGGAAGAGTTAATCTATTCTCAACAATAACAATTCACTGTAAGGAAATTTATCACGGCGAAGAAGCAATTCGATATAAAACTTGCATCCGTTAAAAACAATTGGTAGTTATGGATTTTTATTATTCCCGGAAAAAAACTAAAAGATTAAATTTATTTGTTACCAATTCTTACTCCGGTGCGCCGCCAAGATGAGACAATCTAGCGTGATCCATCGGTGGGTCAACCCGGCGTGATCGCGTTAAGAACGTATGTGGTAATGTATATTTAAGATTACTTTTATAATAAATGCAGCTATAATATTATACAGAAACTTAGCTTTTTTTTTTTAATTGAAAATGTATGTAGCATGATAGTGTAACACTGGATAATGTCTTGCTCTATTTTTGCTTGCCCATGCAGATTTATTTTATGGTTAAGATTTATTAAATAAATGGTAGATACTAGTCCACAAGATAAAGGTGTATTCATTGCTATTTTAATTATGCCTATTGTTTATGAATTTAAAACCTGCTTTGTGTTGTTTAGTATTTCAAAAGGTGATTTTCTATTTATCGAATTTTCTATATAGTGAACTTATTATCGGGATTTAGAGACTTCGTTAAATAGAGGTCCGACTGCATATATGTATTGCCTAAAATTTCACATTGTTAAAATTTTTTTATTTTTCTTTTAAACCAGGTGCTGGATGACAGTCGTAAATGGTGGAAGGCCAAAAATTCGAGAGGACAAGTGGCTCATGTCCCGCACACAATAGTTGGACGTGTTAACGAGGAAGAAGCTTTTCACAATCCAACCTATGCCGCTAGATCAGTTGGTTCAAAAGACACATTTTACTCACCAGTAAGATTCTTTTTTAATTATTTTATATGAGCAAAAATGGCACATATAGCGTGAGGCCTCCTTGGCTGAGTTATCGGTCAAAGCGGCTGTAGCGTGGATGTAGCGGATTCGAATAACACCGTAACTTCCGTAGCAGCAAAGTTATTTTGACCCCAGTTGGATTCAAAATTGGCTCAATATGGGTCCTATGGAAACATGAAGCGTAGGACTAATATTGGGTAACTTGGTGCAGATTTTTGTAAGATTTATCCTGGAATGGTTTTCAGTATTGGAACAATATTCAATTCTGTCTAGGATCAATATTGTAAAATATAGGCATCCCAATATTGGTCCCCAAATAGAAGTAAATCGTGATCCATTATTGAAAACACCTCTGCAAAAACTTTAATAGATTGATGGCAAATTATTCAAGTAAACTTGCAGGCCTGCCAACTTCTACGTTTTTTGAAAAATATTTTATAGAGTGGTAGACATTTAAAATAACCAAAGCTTTCAGAATTTTCGTTAATTTTGCCAACGTTTTAAAAGTCTCACCACCGAAGAGCTGGAATAAAATAGCGTAGAACTTTTAAATAATTTACATGTAATGGTAAGGAAAATAAGTACAAATGAATAAAAAATAATACATTAAAACATAAACTCATGTATAGTTCGTTCACCAGGAGTTGGCGCTTTGCTCCATCTTCTTGGACGCAGAGTTCATTTCAGAGCGGGAATAAGAGGAGAAACATCTCCGCCCTTGAAAATGAGACAACTCTTAATGCGCACCAAACGCAAACAATGAATTCTTTTTCAGTCACTTACTTCGCTTTATCATCTGCTATTATACCTTTCAACAGCAGCAAAATGTCTCAAAAAGACAAACTATTCACTCAAAAGAGAGGAATACCATCAAATTTATGAAATATTTAATGTTTAAAAAAATGCACATAAAGATTGCGAAATGAATATTTTTGTCATACGATTCCCAAATAGTAACCTTGTTCAGGATTGTTCACATCCTTCTCCCAAAAATGGCGAAATAGTATCGTCGGATACCACGTGATGAAGGCGGAGCAAAATGTCAACTCCTGGTGAACGAACTATACCACTATAAGGAATTTTAACAAAAATGCGTAGAAAGTTGGCAGCCCTAAACTTGTAAAATAAGGGTAACTACTCTTTAAAAAGTGTCACCACGAAATAACTGCAATAAAGTTGCATTTCATACGATACCTTGAATTTTTCATGTGTAGTGATTGAAAAATTACTTGAAATGAAAAATAGTATGATTGATATATTAAGATATTTCGTTTAAATAATTTTACTTGTTTTTGTTTAGTTAGTTATCTTACTAAAGTAAACTTATTTTCACAGAGTGAATCGAGTGTTCCAAAACCAGCCAGCGAAAATGGCCACAAAGAATCAAGTCCCCCTCACAGACCTATCCCCATTCAGCCTGCTCCTGCTGATTGGGTTAGAAGAGAACGCCAAGGCAAGAAAGGTGAATTTCGATACTTTTAGAATGCTCAATATAGCCTTTTAGAACAAATGCTCCTCCCTTATTCCAAGAACTATACTATCCCATCCTTCACTCTGCCAATATAGACGACAGATTCGAAACGAAAAAAAAATCCTTTGGCTTGCAATTTATAGATGCAGTATCCTACGAAGAAAAAAAAAACTATGGCTTATACCTGATGAATGACACTCCCTGTGTTATAGTTATTGAATGCTTACTAGACTTCTGTTGATGCTGTGTCCTTTATTGTAGGAAGAATGATCTTGTTTTGATACAGAGTTAGCTACTGTGTCCTTTATTGTTAGACTTAACTTACTTTGTTTATTTTGATTTACCTCAACTATAGATAGTTTGCGTTACATGTGGTGATCAGTCACATATTAACGAATTTTTGGGTCACTTGTTAACTTTGGGAAAATGGCGACGGGCATTTCGTGTGTTGGAAAACTTGTTTCTTGTATATAAACAGCTGTTAAGAGAAATGAGACGATCAGAGGCGCTAGAATAAACACAAAGCGTTGAGTCTCATTGCTTGAGCAGAGTACGTTCGTGTAATTATGTGAATTATATATGTAAATACTACTTTAAAAAGAACAAAATGCAATGAGAGTTGTGGAATTCAGAGTTGACTGCATTGCCATTAATACTCTTATGTGTACCATCTTTAATTATTGTTTACCTGTCTTATGTTTAACTGTAATAGCAGTAATGAATGCTATTTAGTTTCGAGTATTGAAAGATATTGTTTTTGAGAATGACGATTTTCATAACGGATTCAAACTTCTGATGCGGCACTCGATCATCGGTATTTTTATAGTAGAGAGATACAATATACCACACGTTCGCGTTCGTATATTCCGCACAGTTCTGTTGCTACAAAACAATCTCATTTCTTTATACAGTTTAAAAAGAACATGAGGCTTACTAAGTGAAAATCCTTAATCTCTCTATTATTTATATCAATATATAGATCAATATCGATCTTTAACCCTTTCGCGCCGACTGTCACAAATACGTGACAGCAAAAAACTGTATCAATCAGGGTAAGAAGATAAAACTGGTAATCAAAGTATTTCTTTAGCAGTTTATTTGTGGGCGGAGTTATAATTTTTTGATTTATTTAATTCACCATTACTTTGTTCAAATTAAAACTATTTAGTTATACTTTGAATTAACATTGATTATATATATGATTAAACTAACAATAATTAAAATAAAAGCAAAGTAAGTCTGTCAAATTAGTAACGGCTACATTTAAGTTACCGTTTTTTATTTATTTGCAACTTGATTCTGAATTTGTACGAATGCTTTTCTGAATCACCCGTCCCCAAGGGGTTAAGTATCGATATTTTTATTAACATCACCAAAACGTTATATTTTCCACACATATTGAGTACACCATGCCTTACGATAAATATCGAGCTTAAAAAAATTCTCAATAATAGTAATATCTCGATTACTTTTGATAACGATAATATTCAAATATGTTACTATCGGAATTGTTAGTGTCAACGATATTTATCAAGTGCGATTCAACAGACAACGGTTGAACTCACTAGCCTAGGGTTTTTTTTAATAATGACTGACTCATTGACTTTTTTATATTATGACTAATAAATATTTTTAAGGAAATACATTTTCTTCTATTGCTTTTGAAGTTATGTTAAATGTAAATTAATCAAATAAAAATTATAGCGATATATAGTGAAATATCAATAATTTTTTGCGAATATAATGCGATATTAAAATTGGATGACGCCCACCCCTAGTGTTAATCATTGCTCATTAATATATATTATTTTATTGGAGTGAAAGATTTGTTTATGTTTTTTTAAAAATCATTTTATTAAAATATTTTTATAAATAAAAAAGAAATGCTATTTTTATATTATTTTAAGCATTTTTGAAACTGTTTTTAGAGTATAACGACAATTTTACTTTAATTCATGCATACCATACGGGTGTTGCAACTAAATATTTTATTAAAAATTAAGAACAACTTTGTTTTGCACATTGAATTGCACTTTTAAATGTTTTGTTTCACAGGTGCTACATTGTACACACATAGCTGCCAACACTTTGCTTTTTTGGAAAAAGTATAATTATTTTTTATATTTGAAGTGGTATTTATGTTTGGATGTTTTATTCTTTGTTTTTTAATTTTTAATAAAAATTATGAGAGGTCTGATGGCAGGGTTTCCTCAGACCTTAAAGTTTTTTTTTAATAGAGGTATTATATTTACGTTATTTCTGGAAGGAATTTATTTACTTTAGAGATCTAAAAGTGTAGTTTAATACTAGTAAACGTAGAACGGAAGTTTCTCTTTTTTAAGAAATTGTAAGTAGTGGTGGTCACTAATATATTTAGATTGCATCGTTTCTCTTTTCTCATTTTCACTTTTTAAAATTTGTTAGACCCGTGGCAACCCTATAATAGCCGATAGATTCGAATTTCAAATAATAATGAATACCTAGAACTTGCGTTTCAAGGTTACATAATTTTCCCATTCTCCACACTTTCTCCCTCTACGTTATCATGGTACCGGGTAATATTTTTTCTTCCCTAAGCCTGTAATTACGTAGGGAAACAACAAGACTCGCCGAAACTATGGTGACAGAGAGGGGAAAAGTGAGGAGAATGGGAGATGTCTGGATGCCTATTTTATTAACAAAGAGTGTAATGCAATACATCTATTATACAATATACATCTATAATGCAATATATATTTAAAATGAAATATGCATCTAAAATGCAATATATCTATTGAAAGAGTATAATGCAACCGTTCATACAATAGATGCAAGTATTTAACACTCCAGTAAGTCATTAACTCATCGCTACCTCCAGATAATACATTCTTCAAAAACTGCAAATGTTGGTAGCTATGCATGTATGTATTCTTTATAAGCGATAATTATTATCTCCAAAGCACGCATATTACAATTCAGTTTAAAAACGTGCATTGATGGAACATAATTCGATAGAGATTTTGTTATTTACTCTTGTTCTTTATGTATATATTTTAACCAAATTGCTTGTATATATTACTTTTGATTTAAAGTAATCCGTTCTGAATCCTAATAAACATAAATTAATGTTGTCCTAATGTTATTTGCAAGCTTAGTCAACAAACTTGTAATTGTATATATTTATTCACTTGTTAGATTATGTAGAAATTTTAGGATTTTTTTTTTTAAAAAAAGCTAGATTGTTTTTTTTTACTCAACATTTCATAGATATTTTATTTCTACTTAAAAATTTATAATATTTTTCTTGTTTAAATATGTGCGTAAATTTCTTGAACAGGAATTTGTATTTTCTTATAAGATTGTGTTTTGTATATGTAAATAGTGCAACTCGTTTACTCAGGAGAAATGCTTTACCTAGATATATTATATTCTTGTTGCTTTTTATATGTTTATAATATTCCATCAATTCTCAGAATAAAGAGATATTTTGTAATCTGCATCTTAGACTTACTAATATTTCTTTTGTTTTACATGTTGCAATCATTTCTCTATGTCTGCCAACTTTTTTTTATCTTAATATCGATAAAACTATACATATTCATACCTGCCAACTTTTACGCATTTGCATACCTGCCAACTTTTACGCATTCGGCTTAAAATTTTAATTCTATATTTAAAGTGGTAGTAAAATGTAAGCTTTCAATATATTCCTTGCATTTATAAACTTAATTTATAATCTTTCTGGCCACCACTATTTTTAAATAAATTTAAGCATATATTTAATATGTAATATTACTGTAGTAGTTCACATAAGTTATTCCGAAATACAGCATAAGTTTCTGTCTAAATTTGCAATTTAAATTCCATTTTAATACCACTGGGAAAAATCATCCTCGAAAGGATTAAAAGTTGGCAGGTATGCATTTGGCGTAAAATTTTATTTTTATATTTAAAGTGGTAGAAAATCTATACTATTTTTCTCTTTTATAAACTTAATTTTTACATGATTTTAATCATCACTATTCTTAAGAAAATTAAGCATATATATTAATATGTGTTACTATAATGATTGTCAGCTTAAGCTTTCTCAAATACTANTTAAGAAAATTAAGCATATATATAAATATGCGTTGCTAGAATGATTGTCAGCTTAAGCTTTTTCAAAAACAGCGTATTTTTTTGCTTAAAATTGAAATACCACTGGGAAAAACCATAATGGAAAGGATTAAAAGATGGCAGGTATGCATATTCATACCTGCCAACTTTTAATCCTTTCAAGGATGATTTTCCCCAGTGGTAGTAAAATGGAATTTAAATTACAATTTTAGGCAAAATACGCAGTATTTTGGAGTGGTTTAAGTGGACTTTTTCGATAGTATTGCATATTTATATATACAATTAATTTTTTTGAAATTAGTGGTGGATTAAAAAAATAATAAATTATGTTTATAAATGCAAGAATGTATAGAAAGCATACATTTTACTACCACTTTAAATGTAGAAATAAAATTTTACGCCAAATGCGTAAAAGTTGGCAGGTTTGCATATTATTTAATTTTTTCAATTTATTCCATTTTAATTTCTGGTCTAGACGTATCAATTTTAAATTCTATTTTAAACGTCTCGTGCTTGGCAATCAGGTAAAAAAGAAAATTATTATTACGCTTGAATGTAAGACAGAAGAAAAATACTCGAGTTGCTTTTGAGATTTTGCGGAAAATTGGGTACTTACAACTCGGGAAGAAGACGAGCGCTGATATGCAGACCCAGAACCTCAGCGTCAGCTGATCGTACGCAAACAAGATGGCGGGTTAAGGGATCTGATCTAGTTTCAACAACTTTTTTTCTTAAATATTAATATAAAATTAAAAAAAATAGTTTTATGTATAAAAACTTACAAAAATAGCAAAACATTATTATTGTTGTTATTATTTTTAAATGGCCATTTTTAGGTAAAAATAAGAGTTTTTTTTGCATATAAGCTAAACACAGTAAAACAAATTCTATTGTTTAAAACCAAAAATACTTTGTGGATTTTATTTAGAAGGTTGTGTTTAGAACTGTGTTTTGAACTATTTCCTTCTTTTTTAAGTGTATGTACTTCTGAGTTACGGATCTATGTTGTTAAAAAAGTAAATTTTTAAAAGCGAGAAGAAA